TGCAAATGTAAAATTTAATAAAAATATTTTAAAAAAAGGTATCATACAGTTTATATTATATTACATTATATAATTATAAATTAAGATTAAGTTTTTAATATTAAGATTATTTTTATTTAATAATTTATATTTTATAATTAATATAATTTAAATTATAAAATAAAATTCTTAATATATAATGACGAAAATTCAATAATTATATATGGAGCTACCAATTACGGACAACATTTTAACGCCATTACGCCATCATACCTGACGTTATGGAATTGCGTAATAAACCACGTCAGCATCAAAGTACAATGAATTCAAGAATCTTTTTTTGACAATAGATTTTGATCATGAATCTAGCAATAATTGAATTTTTGGAAATTCAGTCCTCTAGTCTGCAGCAGACGTGGTCCTGAACGCCTTCCAATCCATACCCATCACAGTGCCACCCACTTTGACTATAACGTGTGGAGCCGGCAAACAAGTTTGAATCGTTTCGATGTGGTGTAGATTTTTTCTTAAAGTAATAATTATATTGATAATATTAAAATTTATTTTTTAAGAAATATGAGAATGTCAAATTTAGAAGTTCGATTTCACATTATCAAAAATATCATTAATGTTTCTTAAAAAAATGTAATTACTTGAGTCATACGAACACTTATTAGTAATGTAATTTAAATTTGGCCACTTCAAGTTTTAAGTTTTAGGATTATAAAGTGAAAGTTTCGTTTGGTTCGTAGGATATGATTTTATATTAAAAAATATCTTTTAAAAAATAGTTTTTCAAAAAATTTATTTTTGTTGTTTGGAATATGGTAAAAAAATTTTATTGAAATTTTTTTTCCTATAGTTTAGTTAGCAGAAAGAAAATCTTAAAATTTTCCAAAAATTGAGGAACAAGAGGATTAAATTGCGTAAATAAAAAACTGTTAAAACAGATTATACATCTAAGTTTTGTTAATTAATTACAAAAAATAGAAAAAATAAAAAATTTAAAACCGTTCAACTCTATAACAATTAATCAATCATCGTCTCGAGATCAAACAAGATATCATTTGTTGGCTACTTGGCTTCCCTTTTCTTTATGACACTGGTGAATCGATGTCGGTTATTATCATCATATAATTTATTAAAGTCATCAAAAGTCTTGAATGAGGTTTGGATTAATTATTTTGATATAGTTAATAATTAATAGTTAATATTCAATTATTAATAATTATTGAGTTAAAGAGGCAGTTGCCCCCTTAAGCTTTTAAAAATTGTTTAATGTAGTATATTAATTTTTATTTAGTAAAAAATTTGTTTTTGATATTTGAATTAGAAGAATCATTTTGAATTTAAAGAAATATTTAAGAGTTAGGTAAATGGATTATTTCTTCCTTTATAATCAATTTTTAAGAAAAATAATTTTATTTGAATATAAAAAAATTATAGTAGTTGTAATTCTTTGTATAATTTATATTCTATTAATTCAATAATTAAATTTAATATTCTAATT